CCCCCCCCCCCCCCCCGTCCTGGTGCCCCGGCGGCACGTCAGCCACGCACGCGTAGCACAGAACCAAGTTTTTCTCCAGAGGTTCTCATTCTAGGGGCCCCTGGGTGCCCGCCAGCTAAGCGCAAGTCGTGACCTCGCTGTTCTCGGTTGGCGGGATCGAGCCCCACATCAGGCTCTGCGCTGCGCCTGGAGCCGCTTGAGAGTCTCCCGCTCTCTCTGCCCTTCCCCTCAAGATAAACAAACATCTAAAACCCATTCTCTTTCTAGCGGTTTTGTCGCTTGGAAGTGACCTCACCTTACACCCCAATATCCAGGCCAGAGACTCACCCCTGGCATCTGCCACTGCTCAGCCCGGTCCGTCTAATGCGCCCCAAGCCCCGTCGGCCCACCCCTCTCACTCCCGCACATTCACGCGCTCCTCCCGTCCGCATGGCCACGGCCACTCCTGGGGACCCGTCCCCCTCCGTCTGAGTTGCTAAACTGACTTCCTGCCTTTCCTTCTCCTTCGAATTCATTTCCCGCCCTTCATAGAAACACACAGGCTCTGCGGTGCTTTCAGGGTAAAAGGCAAAGTATTCCGTCCCATATACACGGAGCCTACAACCTGGTAAGCTAGAAGCACCGAGTTCAGGCTCCGAAGCCAGAATATCGGGTCCAAATCCCCGCCCTGCCATTCGGTTAACCGTGTAAACTTGGGAGAAGGACTTAACCTCTTGGTGCCTTGGTTTCCTCGTGTGTAAAATGGGTGTAATGATAATATCTACACCGTAGGGGTGTTGTGAGGATTAAGTGAGATACTGCATGCAAAGTGCTTAGTAGAGTACCCAGCATTTAGCACGTACTCAGTAGGGAGCACTCTGATCTCTCCTGCTACCTGCCTAGGCCCACCTCCACCCACCCTTCTCTGCACACTCACCTCCTTTCGTATGAACCACTTGGGGTTGACCCATAGCCTCCCACTCCGAGGCCTTTCCTAGTTGCTCTCTCTTTGCCTAAAATGCCAGATACGGCTGTGCTCCGCCAACAGCACCGCCCCAGCCCCCTAGCCCTTTGCTTGGCGGGTTCTCCTTTGTCCTTCAGGATCCAAGGCACTGTCTTCCGGGAACTCTTCCAGGAAGCCTTCCCCGATTTCCCAGTTTAGATGCAATACCTCTCTTCTGAGGTCCCATAGCTAATTATAGGGTGTTGTAACATTGGGTTGCCTATCATTCTTGTTATTCTTTAAGGGCAGAAATCATGAGCTTTTCCTTCGTGAATGTCAGGCACACCTAGTAGATACTCAGTAACAATTCTGTCTAGCACTTACAGCAAACTTATCACGTCAGGCAGTGCCCTAACTGCTTTGCATATATTATCTACTTTAATCCTCACAAAAATCATATAAAATAGGTGATATTATTTTTATCTCCTTTTTGTAGAGGAGGAAACAGGGAGGTCAGCATTTTGCTCAAGGTCACCTAACTAGTAAGTGGCAGGACTGGAATTTGAATTGAGGCAGTCTGGCTAGAAAGTAGTGATCTTGGCCAGGATCACGTTCGTTTTGGTAAACAATGAATATATCAATGAACAAACACATTCCAAAGGCAAGAGTCAAGTACATAAAGTGTGTACTTGACTAGGTGGTTGCCTAGCACCATGTATGGCACATAATAAGTGCTCAATAAATATTGGTTGACTGAATGAATGAGAACAGGCAATGGACTGAGATTGTATTGGAGCCGCTTGTTCTGACGGCTGGGTGTGCCAGCACTTCGGGCTTGGGAATGATGGGTGAGGGTACTCAGCATAGGCTGCAAGCACCGTGCTGAGACTTGAGGTAAGACCAAGTGCCGTTTCTTCTCCCTTCCAGGAAAAGGTGCTCATCTGGACACTTTGGACCAAAACCCTCATCTACGGTAAACGTTATGAGAACCGAGTCAACATCTCTGACAACTCGGGGCACTCAGACGCGTCCGTCACTATCGACCAGCTGACCATGGATGACAACGGCACCTACGAGTGCTCAGTCTCACTGATGCTAGACCTGGAAGGCACCTCAAAGTCACGTGTCCAGCTGTTAGTCCTCGGTGAGTGTCTCCATCTCCTTCCCTGGGCGGCAAAGCGGCGGTGCAGGGAGAGAGGTTCGGGGAGAAGGAGCACCCTGGTGGTCAGGTAGAGCCAGAGGCGGCAGCTCCTGACCGCGAGCTCAGGCTCCTTCCCTCCGGGCAGGGGGCTGCCCCTCCCTTTTTTTTTTTTTTTAATATTTTTATTTATTTCTAGGACAGAGAGAGAGAGCGTGAGCAGGGGAGGGTCAGAGAGAGAGGGAGTGACATATTCTGAAATAGGCTCCAGGCTCTGAGCTGGCTGTCAGCACAGAGCCCGACGCGGGGCTCGAACCCACGAACCGCGAGATCATGACCTAAGCGAAAGTCGGACGCTTAACCGACTAAGCCACCCAGGCGCCCCTGCTCCTCCCTTTTTATTCTGAGCCGCCCACCAAGGGCAGACAGTTCCCCGGAGCAGAGAAGAAGGCCTGTTTGGAGTGGCCCCGGGGTCAGCCAGGGCAATTCTGTCCACGCTCTGTCCAGCGCTCTTCCCCATAGACCAAGCTCTCTTCCTTTTCAGGGCAAACTTATTAGGGAGAAGAAAAGGGAAATCGTAGGTCCTAAATAAGCACTGTCGCTGTGCCTTTCTTTGGTGCCGAGGGCCGATCAGGATTCTCTCCTGCCCTAAAGTCAGCTACTCAGTAGAAATCCTTCACACCACAGTCTCCCCACCCCTGACTGGATCCTACTGCCTTTGAAATATGTCCCAAGATGGCATTGTTTTCATACAGATAACTTATTATTGGAGCTTATAGTTTGGGAAGAATCTGAGCAATCATCTACTTTAGTGTCTTCGTTTTGTAGATGAGGCCCAAAGGCAGCAGGGGCCTGACTCAGGGTCCAAGTGTTATTGGAAACATTTTAGTCGATGCCATCTCTGTGCCCAGTATAAGGAATGGCCTCCACCCTGGAAGGCTAGCAACACTTGAGACCCAAAGGATGGATCATTTTCCTTTATATTTTCCCTTTACACCACTTAGTGGGCTTTTAATTTTAATGGAATAAAGTGGCTGCCTGGCTTTTTGAAGCATTGCTGATATAATGTCAAACAATATGGCCCTGAATAAAGAATAATTACCCGTCTCTTCCTTCCCCCCTACCACTAGCGCGGCAGCCAATGGCGGTACTGACGCATACTCTTCTACACTTTCTCCATGTGCTTTCAAAACACGCACATGTGCACATTTTTCTTTCCTTTCTTTTCCTTTTTTTCTTTCCTTTGGAGAAAAAAAGAGATCATATTATAAAGATCACTCTGCAACTTTTTTTGGGTAATGTTACATGCATATATCACCAGATCGGTGTTTATAGATCTACCTGTTAGCATACATCCGTCACATGGTCTATCCCAGTGTTCCATCCTGATGGATATTCTGAGGCTGTTTCCATTGTTTTTGTATGAACAATACTGATATAAATAGATGCACAGATATTCTTCCATTCTGTTGCTTTTATTTCTGTTGGGCAGATTCTTAAAAGTAGGATTTCTCGGCCAAAGACTGTGCTTTCATTAAACGGCAGTCCACGCCGACAAACTATCTTCCCCAAAGCAGCGTACATTGCCGTGAGCTTCGCAAGAGCATGCCTGCGTTCCCTGGTGTCCTGACCAGTAGCGAATGTTACCAGTCTTTTAACTTTTTGTAAATGTGTTAATTTGTTAGGTGAAAAACAAATTCAGTTCAGTCTAAATCAAAATTTTAATCCAGCCACTAATGGGCCTCAGTCTCCCCACTTGGGCCCGACCCCCTAAAGCTTAGGGACCCGCTGGGGAGTGAGGGAGTGGCTCTGCCTCCTTACTCTCCTTAGTGCAATGCTTCCTCCCTGTGAGGCCCGGTGGCTTCTCTGAGGCCATGGCCAAGGAGGCAGCGTTAAAGGCTCAGCGGCAGAGGCCTGCTCACCTGGCTGGGCATGTCTGTCTCTGCTTGGCTTTCACACAATCGCAGCCATAGCAGCCGTCCCCACCACAGGCTTTGCAGGGGTGCCACGGTGGGCTCCTCCCCCCGACACCGGCAGTGCGTGGGCCCCCCCTTTTCTAGCCAGGCCCCGCTTTGGCACTCACCCCTGCTCTCTGCCCATCCGCTCTAGGCTCCCTGCAGCCCGGCAAGCAGAGTCCTTCAGGATGACATGAGGCAGCCCCCGCCCTTCCCCTGCACCCCTTCCTCACCCCGCCACGGCGGCCTGCTCCGGCCAGCTTCTCTCGGCGACAGGCAGGCGCCGCAGCCTTCAGATGGGTCCCCAGAAACCCAGGGGCATCTATACAGCCCTTCTGTCATCAGGTTGTGGGGTCAGCAGTCAGGAGCTCCTAGGTTTGTCACTCAGTGAGCTTGAGCCAGGGAGCGAGAGATGCTCCCACAGCGTCTCCCGTCTCCCCGTGGGTTCTCTGGGGGCCTCCCTGGCTCCGCCTGAGACAGAGAAACTCCTCCTTCCCTTCTCCTAAAAGATGGAGGTGGGGAGGGGGTGCCTGGGCGGCTCAGTCGGTTAAGCATCCGACTCTTGAGTTCTACTCAGGTCAGGATCTCACGGTTCGTGAGTTCGAGCCCCGCATCGGGCTCTGCGCTGACAGTGCGGAGCCTGCTTGGGATTCTCTCTCTGTCTCTCTCTCAAAATAGACGAAATATAAATTTTTTAAAAAGGAGGAAAAATGCTTCAGAACCTCTATTCCTGAGCACCCTCCTCAGAGGAGTCTCCTCCCTAATGAACCTCCAGGCTTCTCTCCCGTGGGTGGGAGGAGGGTAACTGAGACCCAAGGGTGTGCTCTTGGAGAGGCTGCTGGGATGCTTCTCATGCTTCTCCTTAGTTCTGAGGACACGTGGCCTCCTGGAGGTTGTTGTGGAAATTCCTAGACTCAGGAGAGGTCCCGATCGATCTGTGTCTGTCTCATTGGCGCTGAAGGTCATGCGTTTGGGGTCCTTTGTCAGGCACGTCTCTCTCCACCGCCTTTGGGAGTAAAAAAATGAACTTAATGTTCTTAGGTCTTTAAGTCTTATTTTTTACACTTAGACCTTTATTATATCTGGAATTTACTTCTGTAAATAGGATGCTGGGAGTTTAACTTTGTTTTCTTCCAAATGGATAGTCAGTGACATCAGCATCGTTTATTGTACCAAAGATTATTATTTCACTGGACGGCCAGCTTCCTCACGTATTAAGTTCTTACACAGATGTGGCTGGGTTTTTTACTCCTTGTTTTGTTCATTTTCCTTTTGATTATTCCTATGCCGATATTACATGTTTTTGATTACAACATGCTTATATTCAGTACTGATATATATTTTTTAGTTAGAGCTGTCAGGATTTTAATATCTGGGACTGTGTGATATCTTCTCTTACTAAACTTTTCCCCAAAAAATCTTGTCAATTTTTACACACTCTTCCATGTTTATTTTTAAAATCATGTTGCTTAGTTAAAAATAAAAGTTGACTGGGGACGCCTGGGTGGCTCACTCACTCAAGCAGCTGACTTTTCAGCTCAGGTCATGATTTCACAGTTTGTGAGTTTGAGCCCCGCATCAGGCTCTGTGCTGACAGCTTGGAGCCTGGAGTCTGCTTTGGATTCTGGGTCTCTCTCTCTCTCTCTCTCAAAAATAAATAAATCTTAAAAAAAAAAAAAAAAGCTGATTGGAATTATGGTCAAGTTACTTGTTAATTTGCAAAGGAATGACATCTTAAAAATATTAAGTCCTCTCATCTAGGAAGATGTATATCAGGTTCAATGACCTTCAACAACAAGGGATCTCCGTAGAATATTCCAGGCCTCCTGTGGACAAATGCAGAGCCTTTCTTTGTGTGCAGGAGGAAGGCAAGGATTTCACAATGTTGCAGCCGTCCCCGAAGCCAAATTCTCTGTGTCTTCCTGCTCTGAAAAAAGGGGGGATTTATCTTAAGTAGAAGACTACCATCTGCTCGCAATGACCTTCGCCTGTGTGAAAGTTGCCAGAAATTCATGGTCCTCACAGCTCCCACTAACTGAGGACCAGGCTGCGCCGGGCACCTGGGAGCTTTATAGATATGATGGCTTCTAATCCTTGCAGTGTAGCGGTGGAAGGGCACATCTGCACTCGTGCTTGATGAAGGGAACTGAGGCTGGAGGGGTTGAATGGCCTGTAGAAACGTCCCCAAGCTCCCCCGGAAACAGGACGGCCCGAGTGCACAGCCGTTCACCGCCCCCCCCTCGAACGCCTGCCGCCCCCAGCCCCCAGCGGCTGCGGTTCGGGATCCCCAAATTCTTGTACATTTATGTTCCTTTTCAAACCAGCTCTCCCTCAGCGGGCAGCGGGCACAAGCTCGTCGCAGGCCCTTGCCCCAGGCCCATCTCTGCCCTTCCTGTGCCCGGGCAGCCACAGAAGGTTGGAGGGCAGAGCCCTGTCACACTGATGTGTCGCTCGCCCTCATTTGTCCACAGAACCCCGTGTCTCCAACGCGTCACTCAGCGACAGGTGAGGCTCTTTCACTGGGGGGGTCTTCGCTTAGGGCCCGGGAGCCGGAACCCCATGGCCCTGGGGGTGCTCGGCCTTGTTTCTGCGCTTTCACTGGGGGGTCTCAGAGCCTTAGGAACACCCCACCCCTCGCATCTCCGGGTCGTCATCGCACTCTATCGTCTTCTAGCATTTTCACAGCTGCGTTTTAGCCGCTCCCAATCGGGGGGTGGGGGGCCTACCTGGCTCCTAAAAGCGGGGGACCTGCTGTCCGGGGGGTCCTCACGGCCAGACTCGAGGGCCCAGAAGGTTGTTAGTTGTTAAAATGGAGCTCTGCTCCCCGCTCCCCCATATAGTGGCCTGAATGCAAAAGTAGAGAGCGGTGCCTCGCCTCCTAGAAATACTGGTTAGGGGGAGGGGGGGGAGAGACAGAGACAGAGGCAGAGACAGAGAGACAGAGGAGAGAGGGAGAGAGAGACACAGACAGAGGAGAGAGGGAGGGAGAGAGACAGAGACAGAGGAAAGAGAGAGACAGGAGAGAGGGAGAGAGAGAGAGAGACAGGAGAGAGAGAGAGACAGAGACAGAGAGACAGAGGAGAGAGGGAGAGAGAGAGACAGAGAGACAGAGGAGAGAGAGAGGGAGAGAGAGACAGAGACAGAGAGACAGAGGAGACAGGGAGAGACAGAGACACAGAGGAGAGAGGGAGAGAGAGACAGAGACAGAGAGACAGAGGAGAGAGAGAGGGAGAGAGAGACAGAGACAGAGACAGGAGAGGGAGAGAGAGAGGGAGAGACAAAGTAAAAAAGGAAAGAAAACATTCACGCGCGTCACGAGGTTTTATGTGTGTCCACGCTCCCTCCCAGCTCCGGTCTGCACGCTCACTCACGTCCACGGCCGAATCCGAATCCGTAGCCTAACGGGTTGGGCTCTTTGCCCTTTTCACCCCCCAGGTTAGCACCGCGTGGACCTGCACTGACGCCCTTGACGTTCCTGCGGCCCCGGCACGTGGGGCCCCGGCACGTGGGGGCGCATCCCCGGCACGCGCGGCCCCGGCACGTGGGGGCGCGGCCCCGGGTCCCTGCACGGAATGCGCAGCCTGTTCCAGTTAAAGCTTTGTAAACACGACTGGTCCGTGCACACAGCTCTTGGTTTCTGTTTGCACTCCCTCCTTGCAGAAACGTGACCAAACCAAGAACGCGCATCTTCGTCTGGTTTCCACTGTGCGCTGCTGCTGCTTCTTTTAAATGTTTATTTCTGAGAGAGAGAGACACACACACACAGCGTGAGCAGCGGAGGGTCAGAGAGAGAGGGAGTCACAGATTGAAACAGGCTCCAGGCTCTGAGCTGGCAGTCAGCACAGAGCCCGACGCGGGGCTCGAACCCACGAACCGCGAGATCATGACCTGAGCCGAAGCCGGACGCTTCACCGCCTGAGCCCCCAGGGGCCCCCACTGTGCGCTTTCTAGAGTCCCTGGTGCCCCCGCCCCGCGGAGCCCCTCACTCCTCTGGACGTGGGACATGGTCCTTTCCGGCCATTCGTGTCCCCCGCTGGCTTCCCTCGGGCGGCTCAGCCGCCAACGCGCTGGTGGCGGTGGGGGAGGCAGCAGCTCTCACTAAAGTGTGAATGTCCGCCCCCCCCCCCCCCCCCCCCCCCGCGTGAGTCCGGGACTGGCTGCAAGGGCCAGAGACACGGTTTAATCTGAGAATCCGGAACTCGGTGCAACTAGTGTTTTGCTTTAAAAACATAGAAAGCGCGCGAAAGAAAGTGAGAGAGAAATCACATTTGTGAAGAAATCCAGTAAAAGTCTTTAAAAAAAAAAGTTTCCAAATGCCTTTGCTCCTGGGTCACTTTCAGGCAGAAGGGTTATAATTACACGGGGCCGCCCCCTCGGGCTGGGTGACCTCGCCGTCAACGCAGGGAGCAGAGCGCGTCCGGACGGAGGCGGCGGTCATGGCGGGGGTGTGTGTGTGGGGGGGGGGCACCTGGCCGGGGGGCGGCGGTCACGGCGGGGGGGGCGACCTGCCCGGCGGCGGCGGTCACGGCGGGGGGCGGGGGGCGCCCACTTGGCCGGCGGCGGCGGCGGCTCCGCTCGGCTCCCCGGCCTCTGGCGCCCCCTGGCGTCCGCAGCGGGAGGCGCAGGCCTCGCAGCGACGCGTTCCGGGCTCCTGAAATCCTCGGGTCGCAGCTACAAACTGGGGGGAAGGACGGGCCTCCAGAACCCGGCACCCCCGGGAGCCTCGCGGGCCTGGCAGCCGCGCCGTGTACTAGAGCCGACTCGAGGTAGTAGCTAGAGGGGAGGGTGGGGGGCTGGGGAGGCGCCTGAGAGACGGGGCCGCGCAGCAAGGGCGGGGGGGGCCTAGGCTGGGGGGGGGCGGGAGGGCAGCTTGGGGGCTGAGGTTAATGGCCGCGGGGTGACAGGTGCTGAGCCATTCCTCCGAAGGCCGGTCTCCTAGCGGACGTCGGTCTCTTGTTCTCTCTGCCGCCTCCGGAGTGAGTTAAGGATTCGCCCTAATGGTTGCCCAGCAGAGCCAGGCTCGGTGCTCGGGGGGGGCTTTTTTATGCCCCTTGGCCTCAGACGCTCGCCTCCCCTTTCTGTCGTGGCTCCCAGAGAAACCTGGACACGGAAGGGCTTGACTACAGTTCTGCACACTTCGGGGTTTTTTGAACAAATTTTAAATGTTTCTTTATTTTTTGAGAGAGAGGGAGACAGAGAGTGAGCAGGGAGGGGAAGGGAGAGAGGGAGACACGGAATCCGAAGCAGCTCCAGGCTCCGAGCTGTCAGCACAGAGCCTGACGCGGGGCTCGAACCCACGAACCGTGAGATCATGACCTGAGCCGAAGTCGGACGCTCGACCCACTAAGCCACCCGGGCGCCCCAATCAATACACACTTCGTGTGACACTGGGTGTTGTGACACTTCTCAGGGGATCCTGTATTTCGGCCAGCTCTCTGATTGTGAAAGTTTTAGCCCCCTGGTAAAGGCGTGCTGGGTAACAGGGTGACTGCTTTCCATGCGGGGAGAGGGGTGCCCTGTACCTCTGGAGGGTGCAAAGGTAAAGCTTGGCTCAGCAGCCCTGACCTAGAGCCAGTCTCTTGGGAAGCCCCGTTCCCCCTCCGCAGGCCCCAGGCCCCCGCTCGCTGGGCCAGCAGGGAGTCACCCTCCCCAGGCCCCAGGACCCCCCCCCTCCCGCTCGCTGGGCCAGCAGCGAGAAGGGCGCCCTGTCTGGGCGATGAAGGCAGCGAGCTCTTCCTTCCCAGGCTGCTTCATGCCCGGGGCCTGGACCAGGATCTAAGAAGCCTGTGCTTGGCCGGTGGGCCTCTCAGGTTTAGGGGCTGGCAGAGGGGAGCGCCTGTGACGTGCCCCTGCCTGTCCCACGCCTGGCAGGCACCCCCCCCCCCCGCCCGCTGCGGGCCGGCGGGGAGGGTGCATCCTGGGTAGCTCCCCCCAGCAACCCTGGTGGGGCCGCGCGAGACTGGAACGCACTCCCCGCGCTGGGTGGCCGCCCAGGGCAGCGCTATTTCCCGGGCAAGCAGACCAGCGAGGCTCTAAAAGAGGTGGAGGGGACAGGCCTGCCACACAGCAGCTCGGTAGCAGCCCCCTGCTCCGCGTGTGCTCCCCATCCAGCCCCCAGGACACTACCTGACCTCTCACGCATACTGATGCTTCTTCCTGCCGCAGAGCCTTCGCACATGCTGCTCCCTCTGTGTGGCGTGCCTCCCTCTCCGCCGCCGCCGCCTCCACTACTGGCCTCGGTTACTCTCACTCTTCCTTCAGGTCACAGCCCGGGCTGTGATGGGGTCGGAGTCCCTGCCCCCCCCCCCCCGGCCGCCCCGCCTGGTCCTTGTCCAGTTACTCGTCTCCTGGGACACGGGAAGTCACTCGCTGTGTCATCCCAGTGCCCGGCGGTGTCAGGCACAGACAATATGGTTTGCAGAATGAACCACCCCACACGGAGGTAGTTAGTGTCGAGTGAAGTCACCGGCTTAAGGTCCTCAGGAGCTGGAGGGGATCAGGCTGGCACTGAGTTCAGGGCACCTGTTGGTTTCTGGAACCTCCTTTCTGTAGGCTTCCCTTTCCCGGTCTCTGCCTCTCTGTCCCCCACCCCCACCCCGACCCCTTCTGGCCTCACCCACCCAGCACTGAACTCTGCTGCCACCTGCGGTCTCTCCAATCGCCCAGGTACTCGGAGCCGTGGCATTCTACCAGCAGCACATGGAACAAGCATGCTTAACACAAAGGGAATATTCCTGAGAAGTTTGGGCTGAAGGGCTGCAGAGCGAGGGGCTGCCCCTAACTCAGGGGCAGGCAGACGCGGGCAAAGCCCGCCTGGGCCTGTTCATATATGGCCTGCAAGCTACGAATGGGTTTTGTGTGGATAAAGCATCATTTACAAAGTGGAAGCCCACGAAGTCCAAAATACTACCTCTGTCCCTTTACAGAAAAAGTCTGCTGTCCCCTTATCTTACAGATGGGAACACCGAGGGATCGTGGGATTTCCCTAAAATGGCAGGAGATGAGCCAACGTCACGGGGAGCTCGCAGGGGCTGGTGGGGAGAGCACTGGCCGTGGAGTCAGAAGACCTGGGTTCTAGTCCCACCAGGCTCTTGCTTAGTCTCCTCTCTGGGCCTCACCTTCATAGCGGCCGTGACTCTAACCGTGCACTCAGGATGCCTCCTGGTGCTGCCTCTCCGTGCCGGCGACAGGCCCCGGAGGAGATACTTGGGCTGGATTGACCTTAAGCCAGTAGTTCTCACCACTAGCTATGAATTTCTCCGCCCGAGAACAAAGAAAGCAGAATGTGTGTGTTTCTGGGGTGGGAGGTGGCTGTCGCCAAGCCCCACCTGATTCATGCCTTCTCTTTGGTCCTTCCCTGGACAGTCCCGCCCTCCAAACCAGACTGCGGCATCGAGGGGGAGACCGTGATTGGGAACAACATCCAGCTGGCCTGCCAATCAGAGGAGGGCTCTCCTGCCCCCCAGTACAGCTGGAAGAGCTACGACATCCAGAACAAGGAGCGGCCCACCCCGCCAGGTAACAGGGCGGACAGGCGCCCCCCAGACACCCCAAAATGCAGGCGATTGGCTAGGGCTGCAGGGGGAGACCCTGGGCTGACCGGTGAGGCCCCCGGGAAGGCGGGCCCTTACCCCCACCCTGCAGTCCGCCTTAGATATCTTCCAGCATCTCTACATTAACCCATGATAATACCCATCGTATAGGTGGTCGTGGGAGATAAAAGTGAGTCACGTAAAGCCCCCAGTGGAAGCACGTGTTATCTTTATTCCCCCCGCAACTCAATTCTCTTGAGTAAGCTGTCTGGACAGCCACTCCGTGCCACAGCCCTGAGCAGGATTTTAATTTTGACTGTGATCGTGTCCTAAAGTACACATCTGAGGCCCCGAGTCCATCTCAGACCCCACTGAACCCCAGCTTCCCACCCAGGGCCCCCGCTTATGGGTGTGCCCACCCACACGACCAGGTTCCCTGTATGGGTCCCACATTCTCAGAGAAGGAGGTGGTGGGTCCAGCTGTGGTTGGCTGGAGACCAGCTTTGTACCAGGCGGCTTGGTATTTCACCGTTGGTCAGGAAACAAACCGAAAAAAAGAAGAAGAAGGAGAAGAAAGAGGAGAAGAAGGAGGAGGAGGAGGAGGAGGAAGAGGAAG